TGCCAATTTAAATATCCTACTACTACGATTTGGTTATTGAGATTATTGATTTAGTAATTTGATAAAATTTTAAAATTTTTTCTTTAAATTTGATCGCATTGAATCACAAAATCAAATCGCATTAAATCGAATTATTTGTAAAACAATGCCGTTTTATGCTGACTGGTAAAAAAAATGACGGTCGCTTGCCTTTAGCTATCATCGAGAGAGAACAGAGAAGGGAAAAGAACCCTAAATCGGTTTCTCCATCTCAAACTCACCAGCTGTTGCGCCCTCTACCTCACATCCTCACTCTCCTTCCATCTTCCCCGGCGGAACTCACCACGTCTCCGACCTGCCTTCGACGCACCTCTGTCTCCAGTCTCCACCACCAGTCCAAACGTCACCGGTTCACCACCACCAGCTACACCTTGCAAGGTAAGGAAGGCGATTGCCTCCTAATATCTCTCTTCCCCAGATTTCTATTGTTTTGCAGGTCTTGCCTGCAAGAAAACTGGTATAGAGCTCACCAGGATGGAAGCCTCTTTAAGATTAGACTCATATTAAGCGGCACTGTGGTGCAACATCTGCATCTTTAGTTGTAATTTGGTTACTTTGTCATGTTAGTTGTTATATTACATCTTCACCTACTTGTGCTGGATCGATCTTAAGAAAACCAGAGTTTAGGGTCACTACTGCTTGCCACAAATATTGGAGTACTAATTAGGAGGCGGCAAATTTAGATAATTCAACTTATTCAGTTTGCCACAACTACATACATCTTGAAATCTGATATACTGACATAGGGAAGCAGTTAACAATGGATGTTTGATATATATGTAAGTAGGTGATATAAAATGATCTCATAATGATTTCATACTGTGTTTTAGGTTGGTTTTCCAATTGCTCAAAAACATGGACGTGATTACTATTGAATGATTTTATATGCTTGAATGTGATAAAAGCAATTGAATATTATGACTTGTGATTTTGTTCTGATTTAGAATTTACACAAATTAGTCGATGGGCTGAATTACATTGTACACATGAATTGTAGGTAGTTATTCACTTATCTAAAATTTATATACTCACGCTTTATATATTATATATGTCATATATACTTACAGATTTTTTGCTATTTTACAGGATGCATTAAAAACTTACGCTTTTACGCTTCGATTCCACGCTTTACGATTTTACTCATTCACCATTTTTAGGTAGAATCGCGCTTTTGACTGCATTGGCTAACCCGCAATAAAGCACTAGGAAGTATATAAGGAAGAACTAGTCACGGACCCGGCCAGTTGGCCGGATTCAATCGCCAATCACATAAATAATATTATCTATTGGTTTTTTGACATTGTACACAACTAATTCATCGACTAAAATTCTTTTAGGAAAATGAAAGAGAAATCTGGACCGACTTCTAAAGACATTTTAAAATCATTCTTCTATTTACTCCTCATCGTCAAAGATTCACATTTTCATTTTGACTTGTTTGCACTTCCTCCGACATGAGCAACATCATCATGTGCATCAATATTAATGTCTTCATCTCCATTAGTCACACATTTATCTACATTATTAATTTGGGTTATAGGTATAATATGCCCCTCTACTATGACGTTTTATCAAACATGCCCCTCTATTGTTTTTTACATCAAACATGCCCCTGTAATTTGGAAAAACTATCAAACATGCCCTTCAGTTGAAATTTCCATTGAAAAAATCGTCAATCATGGTTGAACCGAGATTTAGATGACCTGACATCGATAAATGGGAGGGGAAATGTCAGTTTTGACACTTGCTTTATTTCTCTAGGTCTCATCAAAGTGAAATTATTATAATTATTTGGCTATACAAAAGAACAAAAAAAACTCTAAAGTGAAATGATTAGAGATATTTTAGATATTTGGGTCGCCCAAACCAAAGTTCGGTCTTGGTTAACAATTTTTGGATGGAAATTTTAGCAAAAGGGCATGTTTGATAAGTTTTTCAAAGTACAAGGGCATGTTTGACGTAAAAAATAGTAAAGGGGCATGTTGGATAAAACGTCATAGTAGAGGGGCATATTATACCTATAACCCTATTAATTTCATCTTCTTTCTCTCTCTTGTATTTCAATGAAATCTTCCTTATTTTCCTACATTTTATTGAGCACAAATATTTGATGGTAAACTTTTTACAAATACCAATTATCTTTTTCATTGCAGTCGTATTTACATCTTTCAAATAAGAACAAGAGTAGTATTTACCTCATCCAAGTTATGAACAATATCCCAGATTTGTTCTTTCTACTAATAATTGGTACTTGTATCTTCCTCGTGAACAATGTATTTCTTCTGCTGAAGATAATTGTCACCTCTAGCACCAGATCTATTACATCCACCATTAACGGTCTCATTCTTGTTATGTTACATTAACATTATGAATTAAGATCATTGTCAAAAGCATAATATATGGTGTGATTTTCTAGAATCATATGTATTTAAAATATATTAGAGTTAAAATTGTAGCTCGATACAATTGCTTGGATGTTAGTGTGAAAGAAAGCGAAGTTCTACCGGAGGTTTATGTTATAAACAACATGCATTTGCCTATAGATTAAAGAATACTAATAAGTGTAATTTGTGCATGATTTAAAAATTGAAAGCATGTATTTGTGCATGGTATACAAATTAAAAACGTATACACTTGATAATACATCAAGTATACAATTGTATGCATGCTAGGTGGGTAATGAAGGAAAGTTCCTCTGAAGTTTTGAGTTATACAATTAAATACATTTGTCAAAGTTAAAGATTACAACTGAGTATCATCTTTGCATGATATAAAAATTGAAGAATTGTATGCTTGATTCTATAACTAAGTATAATTTAAACCTGGTAGACCAGTGATGGCAATTTATTTACTGGACAATAGACGCAATAAATTGCCTTGAAAAATCAACATGTGAGAAGTAGACGTGGTAGGCAGATTTGTTAAATAATAATCAGAGGATGCATGTTCCAAATATACTCCAAATCAAATAAAGAATATCACAAATTTATAATTAATATCTATTATTATTTTCAGTATAATTTAACTCGATCAAGTCAGGAAGATCGTATGAGTTTTGCTCATCTCATACTTCCCCATCATGGAAATCGTGTACTCACTTATTGCTTAGCAATGTCATATGTGAGCTTGCTATCGAACTTCAATATCACTCCCTCAGTTTGTAAGAGAAGAGAAACTGATAATCCTCTCATTCAATCATTGTGTTGGAATTAGCTTTTGCATTGATTTGGTTGAAATTAGTTGTTGATATGATGTCGAGCTTTTCACTGCAATAGTTGGCCAATCTCAGTCGCTTTTTTACAAAATAATATGATAATTAATTCATTTTTCTATTTGAAACTTCAAAATCATAACGGGCAACCAAATACAGTGATGAAATTATCATGAATTTCACCTTGCCCCAAAAATAATGATTCCGGAATTATTGGATTTTCCAATAGCAAAGTCGCTCCAAATGAGGAGAAAGTTTTCTCGCTTGCAAATTTGTTGATCGTTTAATTAAATGTCATATTTATTTACAAATGGTTTGGTTAATAATGACAAAGTAATAAAGATGTTTCCTTACTGTTGTATGAAACAACATGTAATGACCAGGATGAGAGGGTAGTTACCCATATTTGCAAGGATGGCATTTAATTGGGTAACTATAGTACCAAAGAGAATTATCTTGAGAACCAATCCCCAACACCCTTTTGAGATTAGTTTTAAAGTAATGCATGCTATTTTAAAACTGAAAAAAGGAATTAAATACTTGAGAAGTTTTAGTCGGAGCCTCCACGCAGTTAATTTTTCCAGTGAGTGTTAGATGTCAATAAACCTGAATACTAAAGCTAACCAACAACATTCGTGGACTGGAAATTTTAAAAGTTTATCAATGTTTTTGCCTGTATACACATTAGATTGAAGTAAACTTGAATTGAGAACAGTAATTCGAACCTGAAAGAAATTTACTTTGGTTGCACTTCTTGTTAAATGAAATTAAATTTGCAAGCTGGTATGGCTGAAATATCATCGCATGCTTCAGCTTCTATATTTGATTCAAACTTGATGATCAATTTTTTTAGAATTGGCCTATAACCTCTCGTTGTCATACTGCCATAAAGTCTTGATAGTGTGTAAACTCTCTAGTCATGTAAAAGGGGGTGAAAGTCCTTGATTTTCCCTTTGAGAATTTGCACCCAAATAGGTAAATATCATTATTTTGAAAATAAGTAGGAATACTAAAAAAAAATCAAATCATAGAGTTGAATTCGCATGGTTGTTGTTAGTTTACACTTTAAGTCGATAACTATCATACTTGGCCAAAGAATAATATGTCTTGGGATTTATTGGCAGCCACTTTTTCGAAACCATCTGTTGAAGAATCCAACTCCTCTTTTAAGTTGTGAGATTAGATATCAACTTGGATTGCATATTGACTAATTTTCAATTATAACAACAGTGAAACAATTTTTTTGCTTTGTTTTGGATATTACATCAACTCACTAAATGTGTAATAATTCTAAATCTTGATTCTATTAGTGTGTGATTAAAGAAACAGAGATTAGCTTTTTTCTAAAATAATAAGAATCTTGGCATATATAACCATGTTTATCATATTGTTAGTAAAATTAAGGATAAATAAAATTTATGGGTAATATCTATATTTTATGCTAATGATTTTTTATATTATCAAAACCTATTAAAATTGTTATTAATTAGGCAAATCTTTCGTAATGCGTCAAAATATTAGTCATTTTTATGTTATCGTTAATAATTTAGTAACTCTTATTTGAGTTAAAATACTAAAATTTTGGAATATTGACCTTCATGTGTCTCTTCCAAATCAGTATCATGTTGCCAAGTCATATTACTAACAAAATTGCTAATTGGAAGTTAACATTTGATTTATTTTTAGTATTTTAATAGGTTTGGATAATATAAAAGAATCTGAAAAAAGGTTTGGATAAAAAATAGACACTACCCAAAATTTATCAGCCAAACCTTTCAAACTTTTCAAATTGGCTAAATTGCGAGTTTGGTCACTCGAATTGCTACAAAATTCCACGTTTGGTCACTCGAATTGGTTTATTCCATTCGTATTCACTTAAATTAGTTGAACAGTCCAAGTTCGGTCACTCTCCGTTAACCTCCGTCAGACTCCGTTAGTGTCGTCAGTTTACTGCTAACGTGGCTAACAGAGATGCCTAGTCACCCAATTTAAACAAAAAAAAATCCATCAGTTACTTTATTATAACCCAGACACATAAGATACCCGAACCGAATCGAACCCGTGACCCATCCACCCTTCTTCTTCTTCCTCTATACCCTGCTTCCGCCGCCGCCGGGGGGATTTCCCCTCGATCTGCTTGTTGTAGCCCCCGCCGCCGGATCCACATGCGCGACCGATTCCTTGCCCAGGGCTTCGTCACCCACAAACCCGACCCTGACTTTCACGGGTTGCCCCGCGAACCCGATGTGTCCACCCATCAATTTGAACACCAGGTAGGCCGCGTACGTGGTTCCCGGCGATAGCCTCCGGGTCTGGATCTTGGCCCGTATTTCCAACCACCACACGATTTCGAGCGCCGCCACTTCCCCTCTGGCGAACCTTGAATTCGCGTCCATCTCCCACCGCCAGTACGCGAGAGTGTCTCCCCATGTGATCGCTAGATCCCTGGCTCCCACCATCATCGATATCTCTCCCCTCCCTGCCTCCACCGCCCAACTCTGCAGCAACAGACATATTGAACCGGTGAACAAACCAACCAACCAATAAATTGAAATTGAATTGCCCTAAAAAACAACCTAGACATGGATTGGAAGACTAATTGATAGAGATTAATAATTGACGAGCGAGGTTGGGGTAATCGGGTATCTGACCTTTTTGCCTTGGTCGAGCAGAATTGGCTGCTGGCAGAGTCGACGAAAGAGGTGCTGCTTGGAGACGGAAGTCGAGAGAAGAGATGGATCTTGCCGTAGTCGTCTTCCTTGCTGGAGTCGTGTTGAGAAAAGATGAGGGAGGGAGATGGAGGAAACAGAGCCATGGCGGAAGAGAGAGAGAGGCGGAAGGCAGATGAGGTAGATTTTTGTGGGTGGGTTAATGGTTTTTTTTAGGTTGGGTTGTGTTTATATGAGGTGGCAGGTTTTTTTGACGTGGCGGGTCAATTTTTGTTTTTCTTGGGTTAAAATTGGGTGACTAGGCATCTCTGTTAGCCACATCAGCAGTTAACTGACGACATTAACGGAGTCTGACGGAGGTTAATGGATGGTGACTGAACTTGAACTGTTAAACTAATTTAGGTGACTACGAATGGAATAAACCAATTCGAGTGACCAAATGTGAAATTTTGAAGCAATTCGAGTGACCAAACTTGCAATTTAGTCTTTTCAAATTATTAGTCAAACTTTCAAAATACAAATTACTAGTCAAATTTTAACTTACTGTTAACAGTTTTGGTAGTAATAATTGACTTGACAACATGATACTGACAAAGAGACATGTGGCGGTCAACATTCCAAAATTTTAGTATTTTGACTAAGAAAATATTTACAAAATTACAAACAATAACTAACAAATGGCTAATATTGTGATGTGTTATGAAAAATTGGCTAATATTTTATATTTTTATAGGTTTGACTAATAATTTGAAAATTTTGAAAGGTTTGGCTAACAAATTTATTTACCCTAAAACTAAATTAAATATAAAAGCAAAGATTGAAGAATTGTAGCACATAAATACAATTTAATCCTCCCGCAACCATGAATATACGCGAACTTAAAATATTAATTTCTACTACCAATACATAAAAATATGTTAGTACGCAATGGCGTAGTCAGGATTTTGTCGAGGGTGAGTCCATTTAGAAAAAAATACATACAATAAAATATTTTTAAATCATTCATGATATAATGTTTTATTTAAAAAAACTTGATAAATTAAATATATGTTGAAACTTTCAAGAATATCACTCTATATGTATCAAAAAATTATTTACAATTTTGATATACATTTGCTTTTCAATGGTGTTCTTTGTCAAGACTGTTTAGTATCAATAACTCGAGTTGTTGGTAAAGTTTTAATAATGAATTTTATAGCATTTAGTATTTACTAACACTTACCTGTTAACCAAAAACCAACTTATACATGCTTAAAGTTTTTGGAAATTCGAATAGCATGTGCTTAACAAATTGGAGCACCAAGATTCGAACACATGATCTCTCGGTCAACAATTCTCAATTAGAAGTGCACTAAATTTTATTCTCAATTAACTATTATACTAATTTACTCATTTTCGTCCTATGGAGCCAACCATTACACTCTTTCTATCCCTGATTGAAATAAAAATATTTTACAAATTAGCTATGATTTTGTCAAAATTTGTTGTAGATATTGAATGAGTACATCTTTAATTTTGAGCGGATCATATGCATCATTTTCGTTTGTATATAGCTCGTTATGAAAACATTAAATATGCCAAGACACAACGTATAAATCATATTTCAAATATTTGAAAGATCAACAATTCTCATTTAAATACATGTTATTTTTCATACCGATTAACTATTATATGTAATATTTCATATTATCTCCTGGGACTCACCCTCTAACCCTCTCCCTCCGCCCTTGTCAGTACGGAGGCAATTGCAACTCGATTTTGAGTAGGAAAAAGAAACTAAATTTAGTAAGACATCAACAACATTTGAATAAAGACTTGCTAGCAAAATTAAAAGAAGAACGATAATGGCAGTCGTCATAGAATACATGCACTAATTCATAAGCTAACAGATAATCAATCGGGAAAGGATGGATGTGTGAGGTGGGAGTAACAGGATGTCTCTAATCCATGGATTATATAGTAGTCGGGTGAGAGTTAGTTGTTGTGTATGATTATGTATCCCACCTTATTAGCTTTATTGTCCGTAGCAATTGTTGATACTTAATTGCAAAGCTACGATAGGGTGTAGCAGGAATAAAATTGCAAGGCAATACCATTTTTTGGTATTCCCATTCAATTCAGCCACTATTTGTGTGCCGTATGTATATTGAAATGAACTGATGAGTTATGCTTGGGATTTATAATTTTTTATTGGTAGTGATAAATTCACATATGAATTAATGTATTATAGATGTCTTGTATATTATAGCGCATGAACGATTCTATCAATAGTTAACCAACAGTTCTATATTAGTTAACCGTTCAAATATGAATCACTAATTTTTCCGGTTTGACCATCCGATCCGGTTATGAAAACAGTGGTTTTCTTGCAACCTGCGCAAGTGTCTCATTTAATGAACTAAATTGCATGGACATGGTGAATGATAGCCCATATACTGAATAATTATTAGTTAGCCATTGGTTAGTTAAAGAAGCTGGAAATAATTACCCAAGCCCATATAAATTAAAACCATTCTGTCCTCTAACTAAGTGATTATACCATAATAATTAATAATGAAATGACCAAAGACCCTTCCGTGGTATGCGTTGGAGCCAGAAAAAGTAAAATTAAGGGGTACCCAGAGGAGAACCTCCATAATATATTGTTGTCCTCTAACTAAGTGATTAGACCATAATAATTAATAATGAAATGACCAAATTTCCTCTATTAGGCAAGCCCTCAGGGTTCAACATAGCGCGTACTAACATCGTTGCATTACTCCATGGTTAAAAATGACACGTTTAACCTTCCACTTAGTCACGTTTAGGCGCAAGCCAATGGCAAAACGCCTCGCCTAGAAGTTTCACGCCTATTTAGATACTGAAACACGTGAATGAAGTAAGGTGACATATAAGTCTCTCCTAACCATTACTAGATGGAGCTACAAAGTCAATATTAAGGAGAAAATTAACATTAACTACGAAATCAAATTTCTATATCAATATTTTCAATATCTCAAGAACTTTGTGAGCTATTGAGCTATGATTCTATGAATTCGTGAGCTATGTTCTTGTCATTTACTGTTGAGTAAGTTATTAATTATTTTAACTGAAGCGAGGAAGTGTTGTAGATTATTATTTCATTCATCATGTAGTGCACATAGCTATTTTTTTTCCAACGCCTAGGCACGTTTAGTTTACGCCTAGACAAGCTAGGCGCTAGGCAAAACCTCAACGCCCACCTTACGCCTTTTTAAACCTTGCATTACTCAACGTTGACATTAATCGTATCATCACGATCTAATGAAAATGTTTGCGAGGTTACATTCAGAAGCAACTTAACTACGAAAAACAGAATGGCTTGCACTCTCAGTAGCTATGGAGTAAAAATTGCATTGCGTACTAAGGAATTCAAGGTAAAGAACTGAAAAGAAGGCAAATAAATGCACCACCTTGGTGGCTTGGTATTCAAGATCATTACTGTATGGTTGGTACCTGACTCCAAAAATGTGTTGCAATCGATCGTTACAACCTGACAGAGACGCAAATAAGGAAAAACCTTCCTTGAATATATCAAATGAAGACACATAAATTTCACTTGTAATCCAATCCAATTATAAGAGAATATAACAAGGGATTCATTCCAGTTTCAGCAACGTACACTACAAAACTGAATGCTGGTGGTGACTTCAATGCCACTCAACCCACACTATGGCCTCTTTTTTCCTTCTCTTTTTTACAGTGTTTCAGCATTTGCAACAGAGTTCTGTTCATTAGACTAACAAATAGCAGGAAGATGAGATGAACGAAAAGACCATAAATGAATTTCAATAGGAAGATGGAAAAAAATGAAAAGGCAATTAAATAATAACTGTGTAAGCTATAGCTTAATTAAGCCCATGGATCGTCCCAGCCTTTGGGACCTTCTCCATTGATGAAATCCATGACTGCCTTCAGAACCTCATCAACTCGATTCGAGAGGGAGTGATTCCCATGCTCGATTTCAACTTTCTCTGCCCCTCCCATTACTCTGCACAGCCTGTTCCCCTCCACACCCCCGCAATGGGAAAAATAAGATCTTTGTCCCGTGGAATCAAAGGGGTATTACATGTATGCACACATTCATAACAAGAACTTCAAGTGTCTCACCTTTCTACCAAGGCTTTTTTGTCAACATATTCTGGCACATATTCATCGCCCATCGAAAAGATAACCTGCTTATTATCAACCGAACACACTGAATTGCTGTCATTGAACAAAAAACATCTATAGAAAGTTTCTACCGCTAATTCCTTGTTCTGCATTCCATCAACCATATCTATCTTGGTCAAATAGGCATAAGGGAACATCTTGAGATTTATAGTCCGTACCTGGCAAGGTGTATTGCACATGTGCCCAAGCCTCAATCTTAGTTGATCGTCAGTCAGATCAGAACTAAACATGTCGTCATCGCCCATATAAGAACAAAGGGAGTGATACCTGCAAAGTGGTAATAGTAATTGAAGTTTTTGATATAGCAACTCCTAAATGTATAAAATAATTTAAACAGCCTAGGATATACATGAAGGGTATGTTTGTGTTTAGCTAAGAACTAAGTAACTTAAAATAAAAACTTGAATTTTTTTTTTTTTGAGAGAAAAATAAACACTTGAATTAAAACACTTAATTTCCATGTAACTTTTTGGAATAACTATTCGCATAAAATCTCCCAACTTCAAAAGCTAAAGCCATATCGCTAACAAAATTTCATCCTCAACCTTGTCGCTTCGAAATAAGAATCTATATTTTTTCAGATTATATCCATGACAGGATGCTTTATTATTGAACAATTTATCTACCATTTCATCAATTATGTTTAATTTTTCTTAAACACATAACACAGTTCTTCATATCTGTTATAACTTATAAAAAATTACTCCTTTTGTTTTTGTTTTAAGCTACCCCAAAGAGCATAAAGTAAACTCTACGCCTACGGTATCAGAGATAGATGAAGACATCATAGCCAGGGTCAGATTCATAGGGCTACCTGTAAGCAGTTATTGGAGCACAGGGATCAGCTTCTCTGGGCATTAGTTCTGAACCCTTGCCTTCTGCTATCATAGATGAAGCCAAATCAATCATGGCAGCTGTTTCTGGTAGAGTTGCTTTGTACTCCCGATCACTAACTGGAGCCTGAAAAAGATCTAGGATAGTAAGTAAAAGCTTGCAAATGGAGCACATTTGTACTCTGTTCCAGGAAGAGATGCATCAGCACTTGAGCTAGTTAAGAAATGAAAAGCATGCTGGATTGTTGAATATCAATTGGAAGAGTCATTTAAGTGGTTCACTAAAGAGTGTAGTATCAAGATAGAACACTATCTACAGCCTGCTTTAGTGTTTCAGCATGATTTGTGTACAAAGTTTTTAACTTGCGCACATCTTAACAAAACTCGATGACTTACCTGCAAAATGGCACCACG